GGCATATATTTCAGTTTGATAATGGTCTGGAATAACTATCAAACTTTCACAATAAAACGTCCCATTTTTCTATTGTAACAATTTAGTACACAATAATCTAAATTGTTAACGGTTTGAATAAAATTTTACAAATAACTCAATATGAGGATAATACTTTTCATTGTTTTTATAGTCAAGTCCATATTTATTCAGACCGATATTGGTTTGGTTTGCCCTAATATTTTATTATTCAACACAATATATAAATAAGGTTAAAACCCCATTTTGGTCGCTGAACTATTATACGGACCCTCGATTTGTTCCTTAAACTTAAAAAATCCTTAATTTGATCCTTATTGTTTGCCATTTTTACCCCAATTTGGTCCTTCTGTTAATTTTTTCACATTAGCTGACGAAAGAAGCATTACGTAGCAAAATTGAATGACATGGCAATTTCCAACTCATCTCACCCAAAAAATTCCCATTTTTTAGCCCTTTTTTTTTTCGTTCCTCTCTTTCTTCTTTCCCTTTCTCTTTCCTCTACCATTGCTGGGTTCTTTTCTTTGCTTTGCCCTTTCTCTTTCTTTCCTCTGCCCTATCTCTTTCCTCTACCATTGCTGGGTTTGATTGAACCCAGCGGATTTGCTGGGTATGGAACCTAACGGATTCGCTGGGTTCCATACCTAGCAGATTCACTGGGTTTGATAGATACCTAACGAACTGGCTGGGTATCGAACCTAGTAGATCCATTGGGTCCCATACCCATCAAATCTGTTGGGTTTGATAGATACCCAACGGACTTGCTGGGTATCGAACCTAGCAGATCTGCTTGGTCATTTTGAAATCAGCAGCTGTTGGGTTTCAAACCCTAGCAGTTCCATTGGGTTCTTTCAAACCCAACAAGCCTCGGATGAGGCAATTTGGTTTGATGATGACGACGAATTTTGTTTGATGATGAATTTTGTTTGATGATGATTGTTTGATTTAGAATGAATGAAGAAGATTCGAGAAGGAGGATGCTAAGGAAGAAGATGAGGGCCCTCGAACCAAGCAAATCTGCTAGGTTGTTTTGAACCCAACAACTGCTGGGTTTCAAAACCCAGCAACTCCACTGGGTTCGAAAGAACCTAACAAGCCTCAAATGAGGCAATTTTGTTTGATGATGACGATGAATTTTGTTTGATGATGATTGTTTGATTTTGAATGAATGAAGAAGATTCAAGAGGGAGGATGTTGAGGAAGAAGATGACAGCCATCTGTTGGGTTCTTTCGAACCCAACAAGCCTCGGATGAGGCAATTTGGTTTGATGATGACGATGAATTTTGTTTGATGATGATTTTTTGATTTAAAATGAATGAAGAAGATTTGAGAGGGAGGATGTTGAGGAAGAAGATGAGGGTAAGATTGTAAATTTGATGGATAGAATAATTATATTTGTTTTATTAGGTGGCAAAGGTTTTTAGCCACGTCATTTAATGTGTTAAATATTTGGACATGTAATTTTTATTCTGTCAATTAATAAGCCACCTCAGCAAAAATTTAACGGAATGACTAAATTGGGGCAAAATGGTAAACAATAGGGACCAAATCAGGGACCAAAATGGGGCTTTAACCTATTAATAAATATATGGTGTCATTTTCTTAATTATTTAAGACCAACATCAGTATGAAAAAATAAATATTCAAACCGATTTATTGTCAGTCAGGAGAGATATTTTTTCAGACTCAGTATTTTCAGTTCGACATTTCAGACCGATATTGGTCTAAATATATATCACCAAACCGGTTTCCATCTTTTTCAGACGAATAAATTAGTCTGAAAATCTAACTTTTCCAGTTGTGTAGTTAGAATCAATTCTTGAGAACTAACTCGACTAAGCTCTCATATGTAGATATTGACTTGAGGGTTGAGACAACTGCTTAACCATCTACCTGAAAGCTCAAGCTTCACGATCCTTTCAAATTCATGTCATAGTGAAGGTCTCATTAACAAGGAGAAGGAACAAATTTGACCATCTTTTATCACAAAGAATGAAAACCATTATCTTACTAGCGTAAGACAATTCCCTTCGAATCTGCGCTGCAACACTTGTCTTCACTCATGAGCATCAACACCTTAGACATAAGCACCCACATGTTAGAATCCCTCGGTGCTAATGCCAGCCTCAAATTTCGTCTTCCCTAGGACAAACTGGATTCAATGTCCTCCAAACTAGATGAAGGCATTTTGCTAAGTGGGTGCCAGGCAAATGAGAAATCTGTAGACATGAGTGAGAGTAAAGGCGGAGGGAAGGCATGTGGGGTGTTTAGCAATGCGATGCAGATGGTGTTGAAGTAGAACTCAGGTCCGTTAAGCAACAAGGAAGTTGTGATGATGGCCAAGAAGGTTTTACAGGCACAATAATTCGAGCAACATCCTTACTTGTATTGCAATGATGAGAATGTTGGTGCTACCTTCTTGTGGCGGCTTCAGTGCTAGCTTTTATCCCAAGTGTTTTCCCTTTGGGATTCATTGATCCATGGTTTCAATTTGCAAGTTCGTGAGTTGGAATAATAAGTAATTTTTTTAAATATTTTACAATAGTTTAAGTGGCACAATTTAAACTCCATAACTTTTTTTTATATCTTATTTATATATAAAAAAAAAGAAGTGTTTGTATTTTAAACTATATTGGTGTTTAAAACACTAATCATTACATTAACTTGGCTTCCTAATTTTAGGAGCAACGCAAGCCTTTCTGATTTGATAATTGGTGTTTTGTAATTCAATATTGATGCGACTTAAAGGGAAAAAATGTTAATAGACTTGAAATAAAAAGAAAATTGTGACGACAAATAAGGTGGAAAGCATTAGATGGTTTGATATAGATATTGAATTTACCTTAACACTCCTTTAATCTGCTTCTATTATATCACAACAAAAACTAGCAACCATTTACAAAATAAAAACACCAAAACAGGTAACTTAAGACATCCAAGTAGCATTACTCTTTCCTTCACTGTTAGGAGAAACCAATTGCTTGAAACCTACTCTACTTGTGGCTTGACATTGAGTTTCATCAATGTTCCCTTAGTTGTGACTATGATTATGATTATGAATTTTGTGATGTAATCTGTACCAAAATCCCTCCATAATGAATCAGTCGAACATGATTTTCTCATAGACACAAAAATGGTATTCAGTTTAATGTCCTCAAGTTCTTTTTAACTCATTTCAATGAAAATTCTTTATGTTGCATCAATATGTAGTTAGTATTCAACAAATGATAGACACATGTGGATGAGAATTGAGAACCTAACTAGCTGTGTTATTGCACTTGACGTGAAGAAATTGATAGAGATAGTGGTAAAAAACTTAGGTTGAGGGTGATGGTTAAGCAAGCAATATAGGCATGGAAGATATCATTTCTTGGGTGACTTTAAGACTCAACAGGGCAAAAACAGGTTTTATTTTGCAAAGTGAAACTCCATTGCTTTATTTATAATTGATTTATGTGAATATTTTATATTTAGAGTTTTAAATATTTTGTCATAATATTTGAGACACACATTTCTTAATTACGTATTATAGGATCTATATGTTTGAAAAATGTGTATAAGAGTGTTCAAAAATTAAAATTTGTGTGGTTAAACTTATAAATGATCTTTAATATTCCTCAAATGACCAAAACACGCATTTCTCAAAGATGGATTGCGGAGTCTAGACTATTTAGATGATTGCACCAAAAGGAACTCTAATTATGGTTGGAAATGGAATTAACTTCACTATAAACTTTCTTCCCTTTTTTAAAAACTACTATAGGTTAAGCATTTTATATCTTAGCATGAAAATAGAAAGATATTTAGACAAGAAATCAGTCATTTCCCGCCTACATATTTGATTAAATTGAAGGAATAGGGAAAAGGAGAGAAAATAATTAAAGGACTTTTATTGTTATGGTCGAAAAGAGAAGGGACTTCTATTGTTTAGGGCCAAAGTTGCCATAACAGTTGGGGCACCTAATCTTTTGGGCTTCATTTTTTTGGCTCATTTCTGCTTGGTTTATCTATATAGATATTGACAAAGTGCGCGTCAGTGCTACCTCCCAACAAAACTTAGAGTCCCAAACCCAAAACGGCGTTGTTTCTCTTAATCCTGCCCCTACTGTTTTTTGCCCCTTATGGAATCACCTTCATCTCGATCTCCCTCACCTCCTCGGCTCCTCCGACCCTTCCAGAATTATCTCCACCTCCCTCACCTACTATTTTTTTGCCCCTTCTGGTACTACCCCCATTATTTTTCGCCCTGTTTGGAATTGTCTCCATCTCCATCTCCATCTCCCTCACCTCCTTGACTCCTTGTTTTCTCTGCAGGCTCTCTTTTTTTCAATTCCATTCTATGGTGGTTTTCGCTCGTTGACAATGAACCAAGATGAGCGACAAACGTATCAGTCTTGAACAAACCAAGAACGAGACTGTTGATCTGGTATTCTTCCATTTTTCCAGAGAAAAATTGTTATATTCCCTGTTGTTTGTCTTTGTTTTGCTGTTGTTATGTAGTGAAAATGAGATATTTATAGATTGCGAAAGCTGTTGTGTTTTTCTTTTCATTTTTTATTTTTTTGCTCATTTTCTCGTTGACGATTGTAGCATAGATCAGTCAGATGCACGATTTTCTCCATTTTTCTCGAGAGAAAATTTTTTATTTTTAATTTTTTGTGGGAATATGATTTTAGTCTAGTCCAGTCAAAGGGTGTTTAAATTTATTTTTCATTATTTTTGAATTTGATAAAAAAATCCCATAAAAAAATTGAAACCAATTATTGACCTCCAAGTGGAAATGGAATCTTGTTCTCTCCTTGTCATGCTCATTTTCTAGCCAGCCAAACAGACTTGTACTAGATGGTGACCAAAAATGGATATGAGATAATGGAGTTGAAGATGGAGATGATTTCAAACGGGGCAAAAAATAATGGGGGTAGGACCAAACGGGTCAAAGGAGCCAAGGAGGTGAGGGAGATGGAGATAATTCCAGAAGGGTTGGAGGAGTCGAGGAGGTGAGGGAGATGGAGACGGAGGTGATTCTAGGAGCGGTAAAAAGCAATAGGGGCAGGATTAAGAGAAACCACGTCATTTTGGGTTTGGAACTTCGAATTTTTTTTAAAGTTAAGACTAACGCGCACTTTGTCAATATATATAAATTTATAAGCAGGGTGTATCTTGAATCCCAAGTTTAAGTAATTTTGCTTTGGGATTCATTGATCGATTGTTTCATTTTGTAAGTTTGTGCATTGGAATAATAAATGATTTTTTTTTTTTAGAGATGGAAGCAATAATAAATGAATAAAAATAGGTTCTCTTTTTCTAAACAATGAATAAAATAGGTTCTAAGAGCTTCATTGATTTGTTAGCATGTAATCCATATATATGATGATTGATTGTATTATTTTTTGAGCTTATAAAATAATTAAGGGTTGTAGAGTAATCAATTTAATTAATAGTAAAAAAAACTTTCTTACATGCATGGTTTTAAAAATCAAACTGGTGATAGAATCGGTTTACTCATCGGTTCACTCATCGGTTCCTAATTTGGTTGGTCTGATCGATTCAACCGGTCAATAGACCAGATCAAAGCAAAAGTGCCAGAAACTGCACTTCTAACTTTGCCGACAGAATCCTGCTTTTGTTTTTATCATTTTTCCTTGCAATTTGTAGTAACTACAAGTTTAAAAATTCAATAAATAGATGACAAACTTTGAAAAAACGAAAATTTACAACAAATTGTTGAAAATTCTGCAATAAATTGAAAACCAGGTCTTGAGGCAAATTGCAAAGTAATAAATTGAAAATTTTGCAACAAATTTGCAACGAATTTGTTGAAAATCTACAACAAATTGAAAATTCTGCAACAAATTGAAATTCCAGGAGCATTACCCAACTAGAAAATCTACAATAAATTGAAAATTCTGCAACAAATTGAGATTCCAGGGGCATTACCCAACTAGAAAAGATGAGGATTTCTGAAAATTATGCAACAAATTGTTGAGAAATTGAAAACCAATGAGCTTACCGGCAGATAGAAGAAACAGAGGTGTGATTAATTGTAGAAGAGGAGGGAAAATAGTATTTTGCAGTACCCCTTGGATGGCCAGTGAAGGTCGATGGCGATGGGTGAAGACTATTGGGTGAAGCCCCGTGAACGAAGGCACGGTGGAAGAGGAAGGGAAATTCTTTCTAGAAAAGATCTGTTGCTGCCTGTTGGGCATCGATCTGCTGTTACCGGATGTCAATCTGCTGCTTGATGTGGAGAGATGATGAACACTAATCTGCTGGCTGATCTACTCCTTGTGGTTTCTTCTTTGCCGTACTAGAGAATGGAGAAGAAGAACGGAGAACTGATGGATGATGAAGATTGGAGAATGGATTTTCCGATTTTGTTTTGTGGTGAGATTTGAGAGTTGAAATAGTTGAGACTTTGAGTTGGGATTCAGAATGAGTCTGAGAGTGAGACCGATAGTGGGGGAAAAAAAAAGTTGCATTGTAGGAGCGTCAACGTGTTGCAATTCGTCCTGCCGATTTACCGGGTTGGACGGGTCGCGCAAATTTTCTAGGTTTGATCGATTGGATCGCCAAAACGGAGCTGGGTGTCCACCCAAGCCCGTTTCTCCCACCGAGTCTCGATCGGATCGATCGAACCAACCAATCTGACCTAGGTTTCAAAACACTGCTTACATGTATAACCAAATTTCAAACTCTTACTCTCCTCTTCGCCCTCTCCCTTATAAAGATTTTAACCAATTGGCTTAACTCATAAAAATGCAAGATTTAATTTTTGGGTGAGATTATTGCCTACATGACTCTAAAAGGCTAGGATTATTGTCACCTATAATTTTGTTAAGCTTACATGTTTTAATTATAATTTTTTTAATTTATAATTTTTTTAAATAGTTAATTATAATATTTATAAATAATTATTTATAAATAGATATTAATTTGTCAAATAATAAATATTAACTATTTTATTAATTATTAATTATTTTTAATAATCAAATTAAATAAAAATTTAACAATTGTAATAATCTTAACAAATTTAAAGATGACCATAATTAAAACTTCTAAAATATTTCACTTTTAGGTTCTTATATATATATATATATATATATATTTTAATAGAAATCATTGAATTAGGGAGAATCTTCAATATCATAAGTATGTTCTTGAAATCAAACCCGACCCGATCGGTTGAAGAAAAATCTGGTAAAATACGGCTAACATGGTCAATCCGGTGAACTAGTTGCTCATTCCAGACAATTAAAAAAAAAATTTTTTTTTTAAATGTTATAGTTATAATATCTATGACATTATAAATTTATAATATGAGGTGTGATTATATAATTAATTTTTTTAATATATATTTGTGATATTATATGTATTAATTTATTTAATAATATATTATATTTATTTAATATTATATTATAATTATAAATTTATAATTTTACATGAAATTATAATAATAATATTATTATTATTATTTTAATATTTTACTTTTTTGACATTTTTTTATTTTTTCTTTTTTTCTTTTTCTCACTTACTAGCCAGAGAGTATAGAAGGTCCGTAAGGGACAAGTAAATTAGTCACTAATGTTGATATAATAGGGAGGGTATTTACATAATTTAAAATAGAATTAGTGGTCCCCACTAGGAAGCTGACGTGGCCGTGAAAGGAGATGATGGGGAAATGACATACGGAAAATAAGGGAAATGATATTTGTATAATTTTTTTGTTTTTTTTTTATAACTTAATGTGTTATTAATATGATTGATTCTTTTAATTTATATGGAATCCATGATATTAAATGCATTCACTCATTTGATGACACGTGAAAATTGTATAAAAAGGTGGGATAAAAAAGTTATCCCAATAGCACCACTCGGGAAATAATGTCACTCTCCGCGTACAGACTAGAAGTGTTTGTAGTGTGATTTGGTTTAGATTTTAATATTTTTTAAATCAATCCAATTTAATTAGTTAATAAAATTTTTAAACCAATCAAATCCACTATTATATGATAATCAAACCAATCCAACTTAAATCAGATCGGTGTGATTCAGTCGGATTGATATATTTTTAACACTATTAAATATATGAGATAATATAAAAAATTTTAACATTAAATAAAAAATATAACTATAAAATACATTAATATCCAAATTATTAGAAACATAATCAAATGCACAAATTATAAACAAGTTCTTATACTCATTTATAATTGTAAAAATTGAAAAGATTCGAAAATTCTTCTTAACTACATCACTAGAAGCATCAAGAATAATAAAAGATAACTCTAAATTTTAAATATAGTACAAGTAATTCTTAAATGTTAAAATTAATTTTTTTCCTTAATGCAACAAATGATTCAATCCAATCTTCCAAACCTTGTTAAAAGCAATTAAAATTTAACATAAATGTCATTAGGAATGATTAGTAGCATTCATAATTAAAATTTAAAACTTCTTAACCAAATATCTAAAAATAATAAAATATCAAATTTAGTTATATTATATAGTTTTAAGATTTATAAAATGATATTTTTTAAAATTTAATTAAGAGAATCAGAATATTATTTTAA